TATGAAATAGGAGGCAAGGGAGGCAGAGGGAACAGGATCTGCCACTTTGTCAAATCAAATAATTGCATTACAAAGCTCAGCACAGTTCACATTATTGTGCCACGTTCCATCAAACCCCCTCCCCAAGGTGCACACGCACCTCAGACTATTGCAGGGGTTGGCAGCTGCTTCGCTGTACTTACTCCTTTTTATTTATTTATTTTTTCATCTTGGGGCTTTTAAAACTGATGGGAGGCTGAAGGCAAGAGCTGATGCATTGTAGATGACAACGAAAGAGGCTCCATAAAATTGCTTTTGGCATCTCTTGTGCGTTCTGTCTACATCTTATAAATTACCGCTGCATTGCAGCGATAAAAATAGGTTTGTATTTGGAATTGATTACAGTGAGATAAGGCCTTAATAAAATAAATTAAAAAAAAAAAAGTACCGATGCATAAATATTCTGAACATACAGGGGTAATTTGATTTGATAAAATAAAAGTATGGCTCTTAATTTCTCCCTTTTAAGCAGGACACACACGCACATCCCGCAGTGCAGAGCGAACTCCAGCAGCTGTTTTGTTCAGGATTCTCAGAAATGGGTCTGTGGCTCTCACAGTTCTTCTCCTCAGACATTTTTATGGCAATGTCTGTATCCCCAGCACTCCCATTGCTGACACAGGGCAACATTCCCCCTGCAATCCCCAAGCGTTCAGCTCAGGCCACTGTGCTTCGTGCAGGGCTAAGAGCTGATCCCTTACCTGTGCCCCTAGAAATTGTTCTGTTAATTGGGCTATTTCTGTCCGCAGCACATCAGTGCTTTCACCCTAGCTGGGACTGCAGGATCAGCAGAGGGAGCTGGGATATTGTTTTCAGCGATTCTGATACAAATGGAAGGATAATTTCATTTACAGGAGAAAGAAGGGAACAGCGATCCATGTTTCAGCGTGACCCAGGCCAGGGTGCTTTACTCAAGCAAGACACTGTTTAACTCAGGTTAATAAATTAAGGGTGGACATTGGCTTTGCACCACAACAAATGCAAACAGTCAACCTTTAAAGCAACAAGAGGCTTAATTGCAGATAACAGTGATGGGGCTGGCAGTGGAACCCAGGGTCGGATCCAGGACCCGGCGGAACACGGAGCAAAGCACCACATCTGTTTTCCAGCCCAACAGCTGCACAAAACCCTCTGGCCACGTCGCTGCAAGGTGCTGAGCCTCCAACCCTGACATCCACACCCCAGGTGACGCTGGGCACGGGGCTGTGACCCCTTGCAGCCCCTTGGACCCCTCTATCCACGCTGGAAAGCTGCTTTCTGGGGGGGTGGGGGGCAGGAAGCCGCTGCTCTGGCCCCACCAGGGCCCTGCCAGCGCCGCGGTGGGAGCCGGGGCCGGGCCTTTGATGTGGGATGGACGGGATGTGGCTGCGCCTGCTCCCGCCAGCCGGAGCGTGGAGAGGAAAACCATCGGCAGCAGCGCTCACAATTACCCCTGCGGAGCAGCTTGAGCATTCCTGAGCTCTCAGTAATGGATGATAAGCTGCTACGAGTAAGATGATCCTTAAAAAAAAAAAAAAGAAAAAAAAAGCCAGTACAAAGTGTGTCCCCAAACAACTTCCCCTGGGAGAAACACAGGTAGGTCGACAGCACGTTACTTTTAAATTTCATTTATTTATTTTTGTGTACATTTCTCGTAATTCGACTGACATACCATTGCTATAAAGATGCCCTGCTCTTTGAATATTTCATCCAAGACCACTAGTTTCAAGTGTGGTTATGAAAAGTCACGGCAAACATATGACTGGAAAAGAGGTGGTTGGTTTTGACTTCCAGGCAGTTGTTTGAAGCGTTTCGTAGATGCACACAATATTCAGCAGAACACACGCACACACAGTGCTGAGTTACACACACACAGACACGCACACACACACACACACACATCTGGAAAACGGTTACAGTGGTTGAAGTTTCAAAAAGGTGTCCTGTCCCCTCTCTCAGCAGCAGTGAAAAACCTTTGGATATCCCTGAGAAATAAAACCAAAGTGTAGTCAAGATGATTAACTTATTCCATCAGCAAGGTTTGATGGTGGTTTTGTTGTTGTTGTTGTTTGTTTGTTTGTTTTTCAAGTCAAATATATTTTTCCAATCTTTTTAAATGAAGAAGGTGGGGAGGAAGGGTCTGGGGCAGTGAAGGTTAAAGAATAGCAGTTCAATTGTTCCAATACCCTTACTCCAGTACAAAATGGATCCTAAAAGCATCTCAATGAAACAACCACCTCAAGTAGAAGCCTATCAAACATTACACACCTGGTCCTACTGTCAGAGTCCTATTACTGATCATCCTCAGAGCACGAGGAACGGAGCTGAGATGGATGAAGACAACACAGGTTAAAAGAAGTGCCTGAGGTGGAGCCAGATGGAGTGGGGGTGAAGCCCAGTGGCCACTGAAGGACTCTGAGCACAGGGAGGACCCTGAACTTTGCAGTATCTGACTGATGAAATTGCACCTGGCTGGGGACAGGGACAGGAGCTCGGGGTGATCCCAGGGCCATCCCAGCACGGGGCAGTGCTGGCTCTGCCCTGCTCCAAACCCTGAGCAAAGCCCCTGGAGAACCTTCCCCAGCACTGACAGCCCCCTGTGTGCCATCTCACAGAGAGGTCAGCACCTCATTCCTTTTAAATAACACTCTCTCCGAGCCAATCCACCCTCCCCGAGGCAGGGTCCTGCATTAGGATGCAGCAGTTCTGATTCTCACAAGGGAAAGAGTTTCCTCCACGAGGCTAAAAACCGAAAATCGCCCACAATGCACTGGATGCCTTCTCATCTACCACCACCTTTGCTGTTCCTCCCACTGATGGGACCCCTGGTGATTTTCCTGAGGAGCCCCAGAGCCGTGAAGTGCCCCGTGCCCTGCGAGAGGGGTTGTGTGAGGTGACAGGCTCTAAGCAGCAACGAGCACTGCGGAGGAAACAGGCCAGCAAAGACTTAGACAACAAAAACAAACACGGAGCAATTAAAAGAAGGATGGGAGATGTGGCCTGATGTGCTTCTGCCAAGAAATAAATATTTTTACGTTGCCCTTTTTTTTTTTTTTTTTAAAAAAAAAGCACTTGCATTGTGTGTTTTTTTTTTTAAACCTCCAAAATGGTGGGAGTTACTCCCTGCACCCCCCCAAACACATGCACACACACACACACACACACACACACACACACACTCTCTCTAATGCACATACTTTTCCAGCTTTGTAGAGCTACTGGATTTACTTTGAGACAAGTTTCTTGTGCATTTTGACAATTTACTTTGAGACAAGTTATTTGCAAGAAGGCAAAGTTCATGCATGGCTTTGACAGCTCCACTTTCTCATAAATGGTTTTTGAAAAGCAGAAAGCAAATGAGGGCCAAAGCTCCATTTAAAGTTCACCTCGGATGCCTGAAAAGCATTTATACCCACATCCTTCTGAGGTCCCTGCTTTATGAACTTCTAATGAATTCCACATTCTGCTACCCAACATTTCTTATACACAGGGGGAAGAAAAAACAAACCAGAAAACCAATGCAAGCTGTCTGAAAACAGATGCACCACAGCGTCCAGGCTGCCCGGGGAAGGGTTTGAGTCACCGTCCCCAGACATGCAGATGTGGCACTTGGGGACATGGTTTAGTGGTGGCCTTGGCAGTGCTGAGTTTATGGTTGGACTCAATGCTCTCAGAGGTCTTTTCCAACCTAAACAATTCTGTGGTTCTGTGATTCTACTGTTCTTTATCAGAGAGGCTGGGGAGGCTTTCGAAGCAGCAGAGCACCTTTCAGAGAGGAGAAAGGGGGGAAAAAGAACTGGTTTTGAGCCCCCCAGTCCTGCTTCTCTCACCCAGGTCACACCCACACGGGATTTCCCCTCGACATCTCTTGCAGAGCAAGAAGAAGCTGCTCAGTAGTTGCTCCATCACTTCTGTAGGATTTGTGTCCCCATCCCAGAGCTGACACTTGGCCAGGGGGTGCCTGGGTGTCCCTCAGCCCTGCCTTGAAGCAATCCTGGCCACCTGAGCCCCACCCTCCAGGGCTGAAGGCAAACTAACTCCATGCAGACTCGACAGAGAAAAGCCTGGTGTGAGACTCAGACGAACCAAGCACTTCACAAACCAGACTTTAATTTTCAGGTGGAAAATGACTGTTTCCTCCGAATTCCAGTGTGATTTTGGTTAGTGATGTGACACAGAGCATTTCACCAGCTAAACTGAACCCTGGTGTTAGTCAATCCCCTCTCAACTGGTGCACCCAACTGGTGCTTCTCCTACTAAAAACTAAAGTGAGTAGGTTTCTTCTGAAGCCTCCAAGATGTTTAAGATACTTTTTTTTTTTAAGGATTCCTTATCCCCATCCCCAATTCTAGAGCAAATCAGGACACTAAAAAAAAAAATAATCTAAACTGCTATAAATATAATTTAAAATAATAATTAGCCATTACTGCCATCCCAGCTGTTGGGAGATACTACAGGGATTCCATATGGCTCAAGGGCAGGCTGGGAGACAACTTCAGCACCTCTTGGATAGTACCAGAAATGGATAAATAATAAATAATAAGAACATGAGAAAGAATAATCAGCCTTCCACATGTAAGGAAAAGCAGAGACTTTCACAGTTAGAAAACAACGATGTTACTGTAAAAAAATCCTAAAATTAAAGTAAAATAAGGACTTGCATTACAGCAGGTTGGAAAGTCTTCTCCTTTCTAACATGTTCAGAACACACAGGTGCTTTGCCTGTGTCCTCTCCAATACCAGAGACCACTGGGCAGCGGTTGCTTTTCCATTGTGCTCATATTTTGGGTTTTTTTTCCTAGCCAAAATTATGTAGAAACATCCTTGTTACAAATATCCCACCATCTCGAGAAAAAGCAGATTTCACACCTCAAGACAGAAACCCTAGAAATTCCATATATTGATGCTTAACATGGATCTTTGCCAGTGAAACTGTAATTCCTTAAATTGAAGATTTTGGACATTTTTAGAGTTGGTTCGTGTTGTTGTTTTTTTTTTTTTTTACTACGAGAAATGACAAGTTTTACTCCAACTCATTTCCAGCTCACAAGAAACTACATTTAGCAGCTGCCCCGCCATGTACTGCTATTAAAAAATAAATGCAAAATCCCAGCTATTTTGTATGTTGTGACTGTTTCCCCTGGCCCAGGGACAACTCTCACCAAGCACACGCTGCTCGAGTCACTATTATGGAGCAAGCAAACCAGTGTCCGAACTCTGGAAATTCACTTTACACAGAGATTATAAAGGGAGCATCTGGAGTCAAATCCTGGGTTTGGTGATACTCTGTTTTGAACCCCAGCCTGACAGAATCCCCCCCAGAAGGCACAGTCCATGCTGTGGGTGTTTATGCAAGACTCATGACTAAATCTGGGCTAAACATGGACGGAGAGCTCTGCAGCTGCACCTGTACGTGGGAAAACTTGATCCTGGCTGAGCAGCTACGACAGAGACTGTAATTCATCTTCAAACACACCTTTTTGGCTCCTACGAGGCACTTAATCTACATCTCTCTGCTCTGGCTGTGTAAATCAAGGACACCTGGCCCTTCCTGGCTTTTCACAGCATCCATCCTGAAAAAAAAAAATCCCACACAACTGAGCTGAGAAACACTGAAGGCTTTTGGATATTGTTCCAGGACACTCCGAGATGGCTGGATGTTCTTTCCTAGAGGGGAAAAAACCCAAGACGTGGCAGACCCCGACACCTCCATCACACAACCTCTGGGGAAACTGTCTCTCTGTGTGTTTTTGGAGGCCATGGACACTCCTGCAGCCAGGCTGCTCCTTCCAGCCCTCAGACATTGGCCCCCTCTCCCTGCAGCACTTATCTCCATCCACCTTCTGGCACCGTTTGGTGCGTGATGGGTCACAGCCTGTTGGAAAGACCATGGTCTGGTCTCTGATTTTCTCAAAAATAATAATCATCTGGGGTAAAAGCAGACTGAATCCGAGCTGGCCTGAATTATTCCTGTAAGATAAACCAAACAGAAACTCTCCTGATCGGGTTCAGTAATACTTGGGGTGTGTTTAGTCTTCATTCAAGAATTACACCATTCCGAGTTTCCTGGATTTAGCTAAGCCCAAAAGTGAAAGTAACAGATCAAAATACCCTGAAATAAAACTTCTAGGAAGGGTTTTCAGGTCTGGCTAAAACCATAGAGCTTTGGAAATCGCCGAAAGGCGTCTGATCTTCTGAGATTTCCATCCCTACTTCCAGAGCATTTAAGGCGCTTCCAAGCTCTTCCCAGCTTATCCTCGCGGTACCTCACAGCCCCAGCTGGACTCTTGCCCCATCATTTAGAGAAAACCAAGAGCCTTTCGAGGAAGGAAGGGCGGCCCATCCCGGCTGCTGGCAGGGACGAGCCGCCCTGGAGCGACGCTGCCGCAGCTCCGGAGCCGCTCCGCTTTCCCACAGGGATTTTTAACGGGAACGGCAGCGCGAAGGGAGAAGCTCCTGCTTCGGCTGGATACCTGCAGGGCAGCGAGCTCCTGGCTTGTGGCTTCTCCTCAAGCAGGGACTGGAGAGCACAGGCGGCTCCTTCCTCTCCCCCAGCTGAGCCGGCTGGAGGCCCCTCTCCCTTCCCCGCGCTCTGACCAACCGCCGAGAAAAGAGCCTGCCAGTAAAACCCCCGACAGTAAAACATAAACCATGAAGGTGACTGAGACTCAGTCAGGTGTCGATGGAGGCAAAGGGCTTTTCAGCAACCCAGGGGGCCACTAAAGGAGGCCACGTCATAAACATCCTGCAGCCCCAAGTGCTCCCGCTGGAACGGCGCTGCCGGCTGCGCAGGCCCCTCAAGGATCCACTCATCCTGGTGGCCTGTAAATTAGATATTTCCAGCATTAGGCTTGTCAGAGACCACCTTAAAATGTTTACCCATTTCTCCCTCAGCTACGGAGGCCTCTCCCGTGCTTTTCCCATGGTTTAAGTCGGAGCTCAGCCGGGGAAGCAGCGACGCACGAGGCCACGCGGCAGCAACACGTAATGGTTCACTTGTAGGTTTCTTCCCTGTGGGTTTCCTTTTGGGTTTTAGATTTTGCTTTCCTTGCTGGAGTTGGGGGTGCAGTGGCAACCTGGGACTTGTGAGCAAGCCCACTGCCCCCAGATCTGAGCCTGAAGGAGTACACGGGGAAAGAAGGGCTGCTCTCAGCAGGCTGTGCCCTCAATGGAATCTGGGGCTGTGTCCCACCCTCTCTTTCTGCTCCTGACCTTCCCCCGGCAGGGTGGATTGACACAGCTGCCTATCAGAGAACTCATTTTGCCCCTATGCCACTAAATCCACCACTAAAGCTTACTGCACTCTTTTAGACTCCTCATCATTTTATACAGCCCATGGGCCTTTGTGTCTGGACTGGCACCACCAGCTCCTGGCTGTGTCTATATGCATCTGCAAACACCTAAAAACTGAGATTCAATGAGCTTTTTCTGGCCCTATTTACTAACAAAATCCACTGTTTCTGTGGTGTGGGGTTATGTGAAGGAGCAGTGTCCTTTCAACCTGTCGCTGCCCAGAAAGCATCTCCTCCAGCCACAACCCGGGAGAGAGACTCTCCCAGCACTGCGGAGCACTGGGCTGCCAGAGCACATGTCAAATTTCATATTCTCCATCTGCTCCAGCAAAGGCTGAGCTGAAATATTAATTAGGAGATCTGATCCCTTCTCACCAGAAACAATCTGGATTTTATAGCCCAGGCAGAGGCCAGCGAGGCAGACAAAGCTCTGGGATTCATCCTCTGCTGCTGCTGGTTAACGGATTTCAAGGAAACAGGGAACCTGGGGGGAGGACACAGACTGTAAAACATGTGGACATCTGGTCTGCTCTGTCCACCCTCCATCTCCCCCGTGCTCACTCCCCACCTCCTCAGTGCATGTTCAGAGCAGAGAGAGGCGACTCCTCTAACATAAACAGCCATAACATGGCAATAAAGATTAATGAGTAAAACTTGCCATTTTATGTATAATCCGTGGGGATTTACAATCATTAATCTTTATTAGTGTGTAATAACTGTTTAGACATTAAGGACAGATTCTCAGCTGGACAAAACTGGCCTAATTCCAGCCAAGCCAATGGAGCAATGCCAGTTTACACCCTCCGAGTTCTAAATGAGACCCATCCCATCTGTAGGAATCATATCACTAACAGTATTTCCCCAACAGCAGGGGCAGAGCAGTGAAGGCAACTATTTGTCTTTCCCTGTATCCGAAAAAGAGAGCTGCATGTGTCCAGGAAGCTCAACAATAGACATGTCAATAAACATGAGGAAATTCAATGAAAAAGCAACAGCAACAAAAGGAACCCCAAGGAGCAGGGAAGTGGATGATTTTTGAGGCAAGACTATAAGATCTGGTTTGGCAGGAGCGTAACTAAGAGGGATGCAGCGATCTTTGGCATGTGGAAGAGTGAAAGCACCAGGACGGGCTCCCAGAGTTCCTCTAAGAGGAACAAGATGGAAGAGAGAAGGAAAAAAAAAAAAAAAAAAAAGAGCATCTTGGCTGGCTTTTCTGAGAGAGGAGTTTGGGGGTTGTTTTTAATAAAAAAGAGGTCTATTAAACAAGGGAGCTGGTGGGAACCTTGTCTGAACTACATCAGACCAGCCACTAAAGCAATGCTGTGTTAGCCCAGCAGGATTTCCTCCTCCAGAACGTCCAGGGAAGAAGGGAAATGTGCAGGTACACACTTGGCTTGTAGCCAGCATGGAGAAATCCCAGCTGAGGCTGTGCATGCTGGGGTCTGCCCTCAGCACCAGGCACTGATCCCTGCCTGGGCAAAGGGTCTGGCAGCTCCTTCCCGCCAAGGAGCAGCAGCACTGACCCAACAGCACGTGCTGACGAACAGGGAGATCAACTGCAAATCTTTTTTGAGAGCTTTTTCTGAGTAGTGACCCATCATCTGCCTCCTCCATCACACAGGGGAGGCCACCTGCCTCCAGAAATGGTGTTCCACCCCTTTAACAAGTCAGAGCTGCCTCCTTCCTCACCAGTAAACCCGACACAAGTCAGAGAAAACACAGAAATACAGTACAGAGATATCTGTGTAAGGGTTTGTACACCTGGAAAAAACTCCAGAAGTGATGGGCATTGCACCCACTGCAGCAGCATGAACCTGGTGTTTAAAAACAGTAACCAGAAAATGCCCTCTGACTCCTCTTTCAGATTTAAGGGGCCAGTGGGCTCTTGGAGACCCAGAAAACAGCTTTCCTGCCAGTGACACTTTAGAGCTGTAGTGATGGCAAACATTCAGGAGATTGCAGGAACATCAAGAGCTGTATGGTGGGGGGAAAGAAGAGGATGAACATCACGCCCAGGGATCCCCATGGACGGGCTGTGCCTCTTTCCTGCAGCCCAATAACCTGTGGCAGAGCAGAGGGACCCTCCCTGCCCTGCCAAGGGCTCCCTGTGCTGGAATCCATCCACAGCTGGTCCAAGCCACAGCTCAGTGCTGAGCTCCAGCAGCTTTGCTCTCCTCCCTGCTCCCTGGTGGAGTTTGGGTTCTTTCAGGTTTATGGCATGAGATACTGTGTCTTTAAAAATCCCAGTTCAGGGCAATCCAACAGGCTGCCCACAGTCCTGTGCTGTGTGAACACAAAAGGGCTTTCTGAAGAACAGCTTAAAGCCTCAGCACCTTGGCTGTTCAGGTCCCAGCAACCCTATCTGTCCAAGGCAAGGCTGTGCTTGTGTTACAGCCAAGCAAAGATGTGGGCAGTGACCAAAGGCTTTTCATCTCCACAGAGGTTGCAGTCAGCTCAGAGAGAAAGAAGAGTCTGACTTTCATCTTCCAGCCCAATGTTTTTGCAGAGCTTTTAAGCACACAGGAGCCTCTGGCTCTGTTCCCTGAGCCGAGGCCACCAGCTCAGGCTTCTCTCTAAGAAATCCCTGGGTCAGGCCAAGCTTTGTGTCCACACATGCCACGAGGGATGCAGGGACAGACCAACAGCCTCTGCATTCTCCCCTCCACAATGGTGATCCCTCAGATCACTGTTCTCATCCTCACACGGATCCACACTTACTCTGGGCTGACGCAAACGACTTTTACAGGAACAAAGTCATGGAGAATGAGCAGGGAAGGGAAGTGATTTGTTGCCTGCCCTATTGTAATGTCATTAAAACAAAGGGATTAGAGGGCCCAAGCACTGCAAGAGCAGAAAGCATAAAAGCAAGCACTCAGCATGCAGTGTGGAGGCATGTAGGAATCCTTTTAGAGGGTTACTAGCTGCAGACAACACTGACATTAATTTTCTATTGGAAAACGCTGGTGACATTAATATCTGCTATTAATACTGAACTTTGACAGTATCTCATAAATTCAACCTGTCAATTACAATGGCACTGAAATAAAGGTGCTCTGAGGTCAAGGAGATGCGGTGTCCAAATGAGACTTATATTCCAGGAGAAAAGCGGCAAAAACAATCTTTAACAAAGGCATCAGATCCATATGTAGGAAAACCAAAGGGTGGTTTTAAATGTCATGTTTTTCAAAGCGAGAATTGATGCTGGAACCAAGTCTATAAACTGGCTGGCTGGACTTTTAGCTGCAGCTGAGGACAATCAATCAAAACAGCTCTGCGACTCCGAGAAAGTGAGAGAGAGAAAACACACACACAGACACACCATGGAATATGAGAGGGCAGATTACGAGCCATGCGAGGCCTCTTAAAATTACACTGTGAAGTAAAACATCCTCGCGTTTCACCCGCCACAAAATGTGACCTGAAAGGTTCCCCTCGGCACAGGGCGGGATGAGGAGCCCAGCGTGGCCGAGGGATGGGCAGGCGGACGGAGGGGAACCTCCTCCCCCAGAGTCTGCATGACCTGTGAGCTGCACCCCAACTCCTGCAAGCCCTCTTAGAGCCCCCCGTGAGGGACACAAGGGTTGAAAAACCCCCGTGAGCAAAGCTCTCCTATCTCTTCCCAGTGGCAGCCCAGGCACTGGCGGTGTCTGTGTGCGCCTTTCAAAGTGTTGGCACGTCCCCAGCACAGGAGGTGCCAAACTGGGGAACCCCCGCTCTTAAATTCTGCCCTCCCCATCAGCCCTTCCAAGGGATCGCTTCCCGAAATGTGCTCAGTCTGTTCCGGAAGCCCAGCCCTCACCAGCAGAGACTGGAGAGCCTGAACTGGGAGAGCAAGAGCTGGACCCCAGGCTGAGTTACCTCCTGCACAACAAATACTGCAGAGCAAGGCTTGTTTCTAGCTGGGGTTTGACTCGGAGAGGCCGTGCCAAAGCGATGGATGGGGATGGGAAGCGTGTGGAGGGGCACGAGGCACAGGCAGTGCCCTCTCACAGGGCTGGGAGAAAGAGGCCAAGGAGCTCCTGGCCAGGTGAGGCAGCTGGGCGGGTGTGGCTCAGTCAAACAGCGTTAAGCTGGAGCAGCCTCGCTCCAGCCTCAGCAACACCTCACAGTGCACAGTCCTCCCTTTCTCTGGACAGCAACTGTGTGACCCAAAGGCTGAGTGATCTGTGTCTCCCTTCCCACCCCAACAGCCCCTGTTCTCCTGCCCTTGGCTGGCAGCTTTTCTCCAAGGACACAGCCAACAGCAAGGAGCCCCTGGTAGGGGTGGGCTGTGTCCCTGCATGGTTTCCAGGCTGCAGTTCCCACAGGACATGCCTACAGCCCATGCCAAGAGCCCAGTGCTCCCTCCTGCCTTCAGCATCCCAGCTGGAGCTGGACACAGCCCAAACCACGTGCCAGCACGGGCTCCTGGGGAGCACCAGCACTCCCAAAGTGTGGGCAAGCACGGAGGGACTGCTGCCCACACAGTGCCAAGAGCCCTAGAAACCAACTCTGAAGTATCCCATTTATCACAGGCCTCGTGCCACGCATCCTGTGACCCTGTCCCATCCGGAGAAGGAGAGAAGAACTCCCTTTTAGGCCCAAAGCAGCTCATCCCCAGCCCAAGGGAGCCTCGGGCACTGCAACGCTGCTGGGCCCGCGGGCAGGCGGGCACTGACCAGGCAGCCTCCTCCTCACCTTTGTGCAACTCATCCGACAACCTACTTCCCTCTGGGGCTTTTGTCCCAGACACCAGCCCAGCAATTCCCCCTCCAGACCCCATAACCTGCCCGGTGTGAGGCTGGGATGGGGGGCAGGGGCTGTCCCAGCTGGGGGCTGGCAGTGCCCCCCAGGCAGGGCTCGGAGCGCGGTGTCTGGAGAAGGGGCACCGGGACCTCCCTCCCTTACACCTCACACTCTGTGAGGGCAGCTCCAGTGGCTGCAAGTCTTGCTTATAAATTCCTTTTACGATGCACATTAAATATTTTCCACAACAGAGACACTTCTCCTCTTCTTCCTCTTTTCCTCTGACACCTTTGTCCCCAGCAAAGCCCTACGACTGCTGCTTGCTGTGGCCTCATTTAGCATCATCATCGTCACCACGCACTCATCCTCATATAAAACAGAAATCTATTCCATCAAGCACTTAACATAAATATTAAAATAATGGAAGGGACAAAATATAAATCTACATACAACTTCATGACTACCATAGCACCTATTACCATGACAAAGCAAATTCTGGTTCAGGGGGAAGGGAAGGGGGATGAGGAGCAAGTTAGGAAGAGGGACTTCGACTGTCATTAAATATGTAAATCACTCTTTTAAAATTTGTTGTTGTTGTTTTGTTTTTGTTTTAAGGTTACCAACCTTATTAAAATTCATTTCACTAACCAGCTTGTTCTATGTCACTATGGATACCAAAGAACCCTTTAAAAAACTTCGGCGAGGCGGGGGTTTCTCAGAATAAAAAAACAAAACAAAACAAAACCACGGCGACTTTCTGTTGGTGCTTCCATGACAAGTCCTGCCACGCGCCCCTCCCCTGCACCCACCAGTCCACAGAAGGGCAATTCATTTACAAGTCCAGTTCTCAGTCTCCCAGGATGAGCTTGACAAAAGAGGCGACGTCTGTCTCTTTGGATTCGTGCAGGGTGAAGAAAGGATGTTGCTGGGAAAGAAAAAGAGAGAGAAAACAGCAAAGTTTGTTATTCAGGACGCTGAGGACCGAACCAAAAACCTTTTGAGACAAGCCTCTAGCCAGTGAAAAAGGGGTTGTCATTAGCACCATAATATTGGGCTTTCCATGTTTGCAGCTGAGGCAAGTCAGGGAGCCCCAGGGGCCACTCCAGGAGAGCTGCAGAGCTGCGCTGCCCTCCTGAATTCCTTCTAAACCCTGGCCTGGCTGGGAGGGCTGAGCTGGGCTGCTCTCAGTGTTAAAACAGTGCCTCCATCTCGAGCACATCGTGCCCCTCGGAGCTCTGCTGCTCCTCCCGAGACGGTGGTTACGCATCCCCCCTCCAACGGGAGCAAGGAAAACCTTGCAGGAAGGCTGACTGCAGTGGGTTTTCCCTCAGCTTCCTGCTTTATCTGTGTATTTACCCTCTGGTGACTTCTGAGTCTCATTTCTTCCCTGAATTGCTCCTATTTGCAGCAGGACATGGCTACATTACCCCAGCCACCGCACAGGAAAGCCATCCCGACTGGAAAACCATCCGCACTTGTATGTTTAACTACTTAATCCTGACCAACATGGGGAGACATCCTGCCAGAAACTCTTGCCTATATTTCAGCACGAATGGAAAAATATGTGTAAGGAGGGAAAACACAACCAAACACCCCCTGACGGCAACAGAAGCCCCTCTCTACCAGCACCAGCGACTCCGTTTGGTACTGGTGGCTGCAGAATGTTAGCTGAGATCAGCCCACTCCCACCTGAAATCCCCAAAGCACTGTCTGTCCCGGCAGATAAATGGATTTATTTGTATGGAGAGTGTCAGAGAGAACCAAAAGGCAGCCAGGGCCCTGCAGGGCTCACAGTGATCTCTATCTATGCAAGGCTGGAGGAGCCCAGTTTGAATCCAGACCCTCTCAGTTCAAGACAGGTTTTTAAAGACAATTTTGGGGTTTCCAGGGCTTTGGGGTTTTTTTCAAGCTGCCCCTCACCTCAGTCCCTGAGCACTGGCTGTTTCCATGGTTGTTTATGGCAGTGAGAAGAGCAAAGAAAAGAGATTTTCCAAGGTGGGTTTGAGTGGAAAGTTATTGAGGCAGCTCTGAGGAGATGGGAACCGACCCAAAGACACACCAGTAAGGAAGAGGAAGTACAATTATGTGGGAAACTGGGCTGAAATGAGTTGAGGCAAGGATCCAGGCAAAATTTAAGGTCTCCCTAGGTCAGACAGTCACAGGAATCAAAGCGCCCTGAGTAACTCTGGGAGAGGCGACCCAAATGACCTGCCGTGTTATTTATCCCAGCGTGACGCCGCTGCTTTCACATCCCAGTGAAGTCACGCCCAAAGCAGAGCTACCACAGCCTGGAAGCAGCCCCAAGTGTGACATGGGTGGCAGCAGTGACCTCCAGCCCTGTGTCCCAGTGAACCCAAGCCCTCTGCAGTGACTGAGCCTGGCCAGAGCACAGAGCCCCCCGTGCCAGGCGGGATGTGCTCCCTGCCATGCGCAGACCACCGGCCCTGCAGTAGTTTCACGCTCCACTTCACCTGGGGAAGTGGGTTTGAAAATGAAATTAAGCATCCATATCAGTTTCCCTGATGCTCAAGATAGCACAGAGTCACATTTTCCATGAGAAACCTCAATTCCACAGGAAAGCAAGGGAGCAGTCTTGGTCTAAATGACAAGTCCAATCCAGTACCGCAAGTTAATGCCATAAGAGAGAGAAAAAAAAAACCCCAACAAAACAGCAACCCTCAACCACAGGACCTCACAACATTCATGTCAGCCATAAAATACCACAGCATTGAGATACTCCAGAGAGGTGATCCAAGAACCTAATTCAATAGAAATGCACTCGCTTGCCAGTGGGAATTAATGCTGCAACAGACGTTGCTGCTTCGGTGAACCTTTTTGATAAAAGGCCATTTGGCAAAGCTCAGAAATTTGCTTAAAATAAATATATGTATTTATTCAATAACATATCAAAAAAAAAAGTTTTTCTTTTTTTTTTAAAAAAAGTCATAAACCTTGGGCCTCCCTTTGTTTGAAACCAGTTTTTGGGCAAACTGTGTGTCGATCAGAGTTATATATAGTCTAATTGCATTACAGGGCCCAGCACGAAATGCCACGGGAATTATTCACTGATCACAACTCAGGTTCAAGAGGTACATGGATTTCCAGCATGACCTGAAGCCAGAGCACCTTAAACCCTGGCACCTTCACACCTCTGAGCAGACAGAGTGAGGTGACAAAGAGACTGGTCCTCTGGATGGCTTGTCCCAAGAATTATGGCTCAAGGGATACCAATGCCTGAGGAAATTCTGCAGCAGTTTCCACCCTTAATCCAGAAGATCTTGCCAGTGGCACTGGACAGGGGTGGGAATGTAGGGACAAGCAAGCATTTGGGTCAGGATCTTCAGAAATAACGAAGTTAGGCACCTTTCTGCTTTTAGCAAGCTGTGAATCAGGTGAGAGCTGAAAAAAGGACAAGATTCCTACAGAAGTGAAACACTGACTTCCTAAACTCTCCTGCTTATTGCCAGCTTTTAGGAGCACCAGGATCAATACCAGAGAGTCAGGAGAAAGAGGCCACAAAGCTGTGGAGCTCTAGCAGAACAATCTGCCCACAAGAACCTGTTCTTGCCAGCTGCAGCCCAGAGCAGTGGCTGAGCACATCTCAGTGCCTGCACTGGGAGCCCTGCCCTGCCCTGCCCTGCCCTGTCCCCAGCCTTCATTGGCCTTTTCTTCCTCAGTTATTCCTCTGTCCTAGACGTGCTCCCAGCAAACAGTCTCTAAGCAGCAGATGAAATTCAATAACCGGAATTATTAGTCACAGACTCGTCTCTGTCCCCAACATCCAGGAATTACTCTGTCCAAAAAGCCTCCTCTCCAAGGCACCCATGCAGCCTGCAGCCCATGTGGAGCATCCAGGGCACACTGAGGTGTCTGAATCCATCACACACACCCAAGAGGAGGGTTTTATCCTCACTGATTCTTCACAGCCTCTTTCTTTTCCCCTAGCAAATCTGTTACCTGCTTTTACCAATTTTTCTCCCTTGACCTGACTGGAAAAGCACCTGAATGAGATTTCAAGGAGCACCTCCAATTTGCAGTCACCCTCCCAGGACCCTGAAGTGTCACGATTCTCACGTCTGTTGTGAAAAAGGCGATGTTAAGCATCCCAAATCATCATCACTACTGGAATCCCTGCCTTCAGCATCTCACTGTAACCCACTGCAGCTCTGAACCAACACACTGCTTGATGCAGCCACACTCACCATAAGCTCTGGGTATGTTGGCCGTTCTTTGGAATTCTTCTTCAAGCTTTAATGGAGAAAAAAAAGAAAAAAAAGATTAAAAGTTACATTCTGTCTGCAATTTAAGCCATAAAATTGTACCATGACAAAAAACAAGATTTGAAGTCCCTGTAGAATAAGTTCAGCTACTCATCCATGCTGAGCAAACTTAAACCTTGAGGACACCTCAGCCAACGTGATCCAAGGCCAGTCAGATCAAGGAACACAGGGCTGGGTACACAAATGCTGTGAGCTCAAGGTCCAACAGGACCTGGAGACACCACAAACACCAGTTAAGACACTGCCTGTTGCTGGGGGTCAGGCACAGCTGGGTTTTTGGGTGCCCTGCAGTAGGCCAGTGACTAAGGGAATGGGTAGAGCCTCCAACCCCTGACTGGGAGCAGTGACTGAGTGGCTCCAGAGCACGTGTACAACTATTTGTTTATCCCCGTGCCGTTATCAGCGGGGACGGTTCCATGGGACATCCTTTTTTTTTTTTTTTTTTTCTTCTCCTCTCCTACAACAGATGGCTCTGGAGGGTTGTAGCGGGGAGCTATTTTGGTTTCCCTCCAGCAGAAAATAGCTTTTTAAAAAGACAGGACGTAATCTCTACTCACTTCCTGGCAGTGTATTTAGGGGAAAGACACTTGGAGCAACTTGAAAAGATCTTCACACACGTACGCGGCGGTGGCGGGGAAAAGGTGTCACACTGAGCAAAACAAAAGTGAGAACCTCGGCGATGATAAGTCGCTCCTCTGCTGGGATTTGCAGGAGCCCAGAGGAAGCAGGGGACACACACTGAATAGATATTTCCTGCTTGTAGAGGGCTCGTGTTCAGTGTCATGTTGTGAATGGACAGAGGAACCGAAGGGCCGATACGTGCCAATAGCGCCGAACTGAAGGCACGGGATGTGTCACATCCTCTGAGCTCCAGAGCAGCCCAAGCCAAGATGACAAGGTGAATTTCAAGGTTAGGTGTGCCTAGATTTGGTATAATCCTCTTAATTTAGACCCTCTATGAATAAAAACCTTCCTCCTAGGTTATTAATACCAGGAAATCTGGTGACAAGTTACTGAAATCAGTGTAAATTTTCAGGAATTCAGAGTCATACTGGGATCTGATTCTGACTCAGATATCCCAGGAACCTTCCTGCAGTGGATACAGGTGATCAGACTTCACTGCCCCAGGCAGCAGATGGATTAGACACAGAACTAAGCCAGGCTCGATAAACTGAGTGGATGTGACCTGGTTTGGTTTCAGAAGAAATTCTCAGATTCCAGCAACACAAAACTAGTAAAATGTGCAGCCAAACTCCCTGTTCTGAGTCCATGCCACAATGCTGGCATTGACAGATCTTCAGTGATCCTGAAGGGCAGGATTTGCAAGGAGAGGAATCGCCACATGCTCCCCAGAGTGGCCGTGGATGTAACTCCTAAACCAGCCACAGCCTGAGCTGCGGGACACTGGGCTTGCAAGAGCAAATCACTCAGTGAGGAACAGCCTGCCTGGCACCAACAGGCAGCTTGGCAATAACAACCAGCACGGGAGAACAGCAGCTGGTCCAAAACCTCAGCGTGGGCCTTGCGAGAACGGTGGGCATTTTGGGAGGGGGTTTTTTTTCCAAGGCAGCTCCCACCTCTCCAGACACAGAGCAGTGTGGGCATGGCAGGTGATTCCCCAGCACGGGTCGGTGGGGAGCTGAACCACGGGGACATGAAAACATGTTGGGACACGACTCCCAGGAATCTGAAGGCCGGCACTGAGAGTCCCAGGGCAGGAGTGGCTGAAAATCCCCTTCCTGGGTCACGGCAGAGCCAGCCGGGCTCCGGCCCCGACACTGGCACTGGGGAACAGTCTCACATTTCTGTATTTGTCCATGTGCCGTCCTTTCTTGGCCACCACACAAACCCACCATCCACCTGCCAACTTGGCCGGCGGCGCGTGGCACTGCAGCGCCTGGAAAATGCAGCCGCCTCCCCGGCGGTTCCAGGGGAGCTGGAGGGAGCAGCAGTCAGGAGCTGTGGGGCAGCTGCCAGCTCTGTGAACCACGGGCTGAGGGCAGCTCTGAGCCTCCCTGGGCGCTGCAGGGCCTGAGCTCTGTGCAGCTCCAGACAGCAGCGTCTGCTCCAGCCCTGCTCCTGCGCCGCTGCCAAACTCTCCCGCCGCTTCCAGCGCCGAGCCCCGTGGAAAGCAGCACAGCAGCTGGAGGGCCCCGAGGAGCAGGACAGAGTCTGACAGGGGTCACCACGGGGCAAACTCTGCCCTCAGAGCTGTGTCCCCTGGGATTGGGAGCAAGAGGAGGCAGCCACTCCACATCCTGCTCCCCCTTCCAGCCTCGGGGACATGAGGGGGCTGGAGGAGCGCCCTGACTGCACCTGCCTGTGCACACAGGAGCCCTGTGTCCTAAACCCCTTCCTCCTGTGCATCCCCCAGAAGGGACCCAGCCTGTTCCTCGCCACCTCAGGCAGGCAGACCCTCACAGCCACCATCACCGCTGCTCTGCCTGCACACTGCCAGGCCCCCACCCGGCCCAGCGAGGGGGGATGTTCTGCCCAAAAACCAGGTTTGTACCCCCAGGAGCTGCCCGTGGGGACAGGGGCGCAGGAGGCCAACGGGCACGTGTGTCCCCCAGCCTCCCCCCAGCACGGCAGAGGCCGTGGGAAGGTATTTTACCATTGCGAGGTAAAATCGACGAACTCCGCCGAGAACTTCTCCGCTGGGAGCTGCGGCGACGGCTCCTCCACCACCTGCTTGAGCTGCTGGAAGGGCGTCCCCCAGGAGTCGTAGGGAAAGCGCAGGATGGCCAGCTCGATCTGGGGAGACACAGCCCACACCTCAGGACTGGGGCTGGACACCCCACGGCCTGCCCGCCCCGCAGATTTCGGACTCCCGTGTGCCCACCCTGGGGTGTGGGGGTTTTTTTAGGTTCCACACCTAAAAAAAAGGGCTGGATCACCTCTGCTATGGAGATGGGCTGAAAGATGGGGGATTGTTCAGTATGGAGATGGAAAAGCTCCAGGGAGACCACAGAGCCCCTTTCAGTGCCTAAAGGGGGCTGACAAATAGGAGGAAGAGTGACTTTTTACATGGGCAGACAGTGATAGGACAAGGGAGAAAGTTTTAAACTAAAAGAGGAGAGATATAGAAATTAGGTGGAAATTCTCCCCTGTGAGGGTGGGGAGGCCCTGGCACAGGTTGCCCAGAGAAGCTGTGGCTGCCCCATCCCTGGGAGTGTCCAAGGCCACGTTGGATGGGGCTTGGAGCCACCTGGGATAGTGGAAGGTGTCCTTGCTCATGGCAGGGAGGTGGAACAAAATCACCCTTAAGGTCCCTTCCAACCCAAACCACTATGATTTCCTCACCACCCTGGCCACAACATCTTGCTTAATCTCCTCCAGCCAGAGGAGACCCACAGAGCTCCATACCCAATTCCCTGTTACCCCCATGTCTGACATCACCTGGGAAAGAAGTTAAAACCTGCCCCATATTGCACCAGGTAACTGCTGTAAAATGACTTTGTAAGCAGATGGATTCCCCCCAAACACTGGGTGGGAGACACCCCTCATCCCTGCTCTCCTGAGGGGGACTCTGCTGATTGCTGGGAGGGTGTCTTTGTGCTTGGAATCCAACCTGCTCCAGGCGCCAGACGCCTGTGCCTTAGTCCATGCTGCCATCTCCTGGCAGCTGCGGCAGCAAGGACCTGACACAGCAGCTCCATCCTCCTTCTCTTCAACCCTGCAGCACTTTTCCTGCTCCCCCCAGAGCTGTATTCCCGTTCCCAGCCTGCCACCTTCCCAAAGGAAACGGTGCCAGCAGTGTCAGCAGGGCTGTGGGGTCACCCTACCATGGTGATGCCCAGGCTCCAGATGTCGGATTTGACGCTGTACCCCTTCTGGTTCAGCTCCGGGTTAATTCTCTCAGGCTGTGAACAGAGACAGAGCTGGGTGAGGAACAGGGGTGGTCCCACTGCCATGCCCGCTCCCAGATGCTAAGTACTATTGTCCCCACAGGGCAAACACGCCAGAGGGAGCAATTCCAGAGCCTTTCCCAAGGTCACAGGGAGGTGAGGAGGCAGCAGGAAGCTGTGCCCAGGAGGCCCATGAGATCTATCTCCCTCTCTGCCCCTTTCCAAGGGGACTGTGTCCCTTAACTTCAGGGATACATCTTCCCGAAGGAGTTCCCAGGGCACACGCCAGAGGCTGATCCTTCCCCCCACCGAGCTCAGGTTCCTTTGGCTGCTCCCCACGCAGCTTCTCCACGGCTCAACTTACAGCCATGTAGGGTTTGCATCCTGCATCCATGGTTTTAGCAACCGAGTCGACGAGGTAACCGCTAATCCCGAAATCGCACATTTTCACCTGCCCCTGCGTATTGATCAACACGTTAGAGGGCTTTACATCTGCAAGAAGGAACACAGACCACAGTCACTGTCACACGTGGGCGGCTGGGCCAAGCCAAAAACAGCTGAAGAGCTTCCTATCAGCAGAGGGCACCCAAGGAGCCCGTGCAGAGCCCTGACTGAGCCCTGGACATGCCAAAACCGCGCTGGCTGCGGCTGCTGCTCGTTCAGGTGACAACCCCATGGGCCTGTCACGTGTCCTGACAGTGTCCCTTCGCTTGCAGGCTCCCCTCTCCAGTTTGGGGAAGCAGGAGGCAACCCTGCACGTAACCACCACATCCCACTGCATATGGGATGGCCACAGACACCAGGGCAGCTCTGCAGGGCTGGGGGCATCCCCGTGGGATGTCTGCAAAGGGCTGCAGCTCTGGCAAGTCCCCATGGATCCGGCCTCATGCCAGCAAAAGGAAAAAACCACGGAGGCAGCACGAGGAGTGGGCAGGAAAGGGTGAAAGGCAGCAGGGGGTGCAAGGAAGGAGGGAGCTGTAACTAAGACAAGGACCAAGATTTCAGAAATGGGCTCTAATTTTGAGGATGCCAGGCCTGGTGGCAGCGTGAGCAGCAGCAGGAGGTGTGTGGGTGCTCCACACCTTATGGAAATCAGTCTCATCTATTTATTACTGCCAGATTTATCTGCTTCCCATCACGGCCTCACAATCCCTGCTGTGTTCACACTTGCATCACGTTATAATCCCCATCAGAAAGGGAAATTAAGGCACAGAGAGGTGATAGGAAGTGATATCCAGGAGAGCATGGAGTTGCTTTCCTGCACAGCAGGCAATTGCTCCATGAGGATAATCCCAAATAAAGTCCCAACATAGCAGAGGTGACTCCAAAGGGAGCAATCTTTTCCCTGCTGCCACCCAGAAATCACAGGTCTCTTCTCTGTTTCCATGTGATAATCTATTAAATACAAGGCTGAAACACCATCTGAAGGAGGCCACAAGCTGCTTTTGAGTCCTGCTTATTAGAACTGGGTGGTTTACAGCTTGTTAACATCTGCTCTCTAATCAGCACTCTGCAATCAAAACCCTCAGGTATCTGAGATCCTCACCCATCTGTTACTATGCTAAAATAAGACAATTTTCAGTGGCAGTCCAACAAGTAAACGGAAGAACAAGCAGCATTTTCCACCTCCTGTAAATGATACAGAGGACAGAAAATCAACTTCCAGCCACAGGCAGGATGTACCCAGTGTGGCTGCCTGCTCCAGCTCAACTCTGCTGCTTCAGATGTTCCTTCCCAGGCACTCACACACTCCAGGGAGGGCTTTTTTCCTCCTCGTGACAAATTGAAAATGACCCTTTCAAAAAAAAAGGTGTCAAGCAGCAACTTCAAATTTGCTTCTTTCTAAGTGTGCTCATGGCATCTTTGAGATGCTCTAGAGGGGAAAATGTCAGAAGAGCTTAAGGAGGGTATTTATGATTTCACTTGAGGCTATTTTAGCTATCAAACTGTTCTGCTCCACCAGCGCTCATGGAAGCTCAGGGAAGGGGATGAGGATGGGAAGATCACTGAGAGGGGCATCACTCTGGCACGGAGATGCCTCTCTCTGCACATCAGCACAGAACTAGGGGAGAAACCTTGGCCAAGCCTGGTCCAAAGCTCACCAAGGTCAGAAGGAGAAGCCTGGCTGAATTTCACAGAGGTGTTGAAGCAGAACACGGATTTAAGGAAATGGGGCAACCAGCACAACCAGGCTGGAGTTCACTTCTCCACCTCAGGGAAAAGTTGGGACCAGCAGACCCTTTCCAGCAGCCATTTCCTCTGACTGGGTTTTGCTGCAGGTCATGAGATGCTGGGGAACATTTCTGCTGTCAAAAGCCCATTTTCTCTGGGGTGTTTTGGGAGCCCTTGCCAGTCTGAGAGCAGGGCAGACAGACAGGCAGACCCCAGCGTGGCCAGGGCTGTGTGCCAGGCACTCACCTCGGTGGATCACGGAGAGCTTACTGTGGAGATGTTCTAGTGCTTTCACAATCTGAAACGACAAATCCAGAGTCAATCACAGCTGGCAGCACCTTGGGGAGGAGGAAATGACATCTGGCTTCACCCCAGCAGACCTGCCTGGAGGGTTTCCCACAAGTCCTGCACCCTCCCAGCAGCCCAAGGTGACGGTGGGTACCCAGGGATGTCCCAGGGGCTCCAGGACCAGATCCTGGAAGCCAGCTGTGGCCCATGGGCCATGTTCTTCCTGGTGCAAACAGAGCACGGAGCTTGGGTCATGAAGGACTTGGCTTAGAAGGAAAACCCCCTTTCCCTTCCCTTCTCACCCTGCTAATACTCACAGAGACGGCGATTTTCCCCAGGATGTCCTCGGGAATCGTCAGGCCTTTGTCAATGACATGCTTGTAGAATTTGTCCAGTGAGGTATCCATCAGCTCCATGCAGATCCACACGTCTCCCTGGAGAAGAAAAGTAAGCAGATATCTGCCTACTGGAACCAAGCATCCTTTCCTTTGTTTCTTTCCCTTTGTGTCCTGTGCAAAGCTCTTTGGCACCTGCCCTTTGCTGACCTGTTTGCCTCTTCCCTGTCTTTTAAAACTCATTTAGCAAAACTACTGAGCTTTCTTTTCCCTCCTCTCCAGCTGGAATGAGGTGCTGTCCACATTCCCTGCCATTCAGGGCATTGTTTTTTGCCCCCTTTTTCCCAAAGCAGAGTCCTGGTGATTCAGGAGCCCAGAAAAGTCTCTGTGTCCAGATGGACATTAAACCCCTGGCGCTGGGAGGGATGGGAATTGAGGGTCTGGGAGAAGGGGCAGCAGGGCTCAGCCCCAGCATTCCCTACCTCTCGGAAAAGTGCCCCGTAAAAGGTGACAGTGAAGGGACAATCCACCGTCCTCATGGAGATATCCAGGTCCATCAACAACCTCTTCTGCTCCTGGCTGTTCACCGTGGCTCGGATCCGCTGGAAGACAGGGCGGGTCAGTGGTGGCTGTCAGCGCACCTGGGTGCCACAGGGCTGGCCAGAGAGCCCTCACCCCCACCCCAACCCTTCCAGCACACCCCCTGGGCCCCCTTTTATCACCCCCCTTCAGGCACAGGCACAGCACGAGCCCAGCACCCACGGCAGGAGCACAGGGATCCTCCCACCCCAGCCCAAACCCCAGCGGATTTTGCTCTTCCCTGCAAACACCTCTCTTTGCACCAGCCAAAAGAAACGAGTGTTGGGAGAGCAGGAAGGAGCAGGAAATCAGGTTGTAGGCTGGTGGAAAGCTGGGATTTTGGAGCTGCAGTGGATTCTATTACATCAGCAGACTGGTCTGGAGAGAGGGCTCCAGCCCTGCACCAGAGCATGGAAAATGGGCACTTCCCAGTCTCCCAGGAAGAGATGGGAAATACCTGGAGACTCCCATCTGGGACAAGTGTCCCACCCAGCACACCCCAGCAAAGTCTGTCCACAGCTGAGGACCGAAGAGTTTTCCCTCAGTTTGCTCATAGCTTCCAACTCTGCATCTCTTTTATTCTTATTCAGAAAGGAAACCTGAGGGAAAACTCAGCCAAGCAAAAACTGGTCCTACCCAAACTTACAAATTTTCCCATGACCATTTCCTTAACTTCCAAATTTATGAGTCTAAGATGTTGTTATGAAAACTTTTCATAATAGCACCTCCAAGCCTGCCATGGATCAGGATCCCACTGCAGCAGGCAAAATGTGAAAATCCCAACAAAACTTTCCCCTTCCAAATAGCCTAAAAAAAGTCCCAGATGGAGAAAATTCTCTTATGCAATTAAATTTGCTCTTCTTTACAAAGAGTGTAGTCCTGAATCTGAGGGCAAGGCTGCATCAGAAAAAAAAAAAAGTATGTTTAAAAAATTATGGCAAAGAGAATTCTAGGGAAACAGGGATATTGTGGATGAAGGTGAATGATTGATGCACTGCAGTGCTGGAAACACACTGAGCACCATACTTTTAGAACACACTCCTTGGCTGAAAGGCCCAAATCTGCCTGAGCACTCTTAGAGCCCCTCGAGCTCAAAACTGTCCTGGGCTTTTTTTTTTTCAGACCATCATGAGGAGTGCTCTTCCATGCTGTCAGAAGGATTTGCTTCCAGGACAGCAAGATCCACCCTTAGTCAGACTCCTGAGGAGAGATGGCCTTCAACATTAGCAAAGGGAAACACTTGGGATGAGGGCTTTAAACTTAGCAAAGGAACTGCAGAGAGCAAAACACCGTTAGAGAATATTCACAGAAAGAGCATTTCACGAGGAAAGAAGCAAAGCAAAGGCAGTAAATCTCAGAAGAGGCACGTGTGAGAAGAAGTGAGGTAAGAGCTGTGCCCACACACCCCGACAGAGACACAAAGCCCCCCGAGGCTCACTCTACCTTCACTGCCATGATCTGCCCGCTGGGCATGTGCCGCATCTTCTCCACCACCCCGTACGCACCTCGTCCCAGCTCGGAGATGGGCTCCAGGTCATCGGCCTTCACCTCAAAGTTCTGGGGGAGAAAAACCAGCAGGTGGCCACAGCTGTGCAAGGGGAGAAACGCCCCCCAAACCCAGCCCTGCTCGGGACATCCCCTCACCCTGGGAGCCGCCTCCCCAGGACACAGAATCGCAGTCCGCAGGGTCACCGAATCATGGAAGGGTTTGGGTTGGAGGGGACCTTAAAAATCATTGTTTCACCACTTGCCATGGGCAGGGACACCTTCCACTAGCCCAGGTTGCTCAGAGCTCCATCCAGTCTGGCCTTGGACACCTCCAGGAATGGGGCAGCCACAGCTTCTCTCTGGGCCTCCCCACCCTCACAGGAGAGAATTTTTTCCTAATATCCAATCCAAACCCGCTCTCTTTTAGTTTGGATCTATTCCCCCTTGTCCTGTCATTACATGCTCTTGTTTTGTCCCTCCCAGTCACCTTCAGCTAGCAGTACTTTTAGCCTCTCCACCCTCTAAGAGCTGGGATGGAAAACACCACAGCAGCTTCTCCCCTGGGCATCACCTTCAGTCTTATTTTAATTTTTTTTTTCCTTCCACCCTCCTCCCCAAAATAATCATAGAAATATCTCCCAGGTTTTTTAAGGCCTGTAAAAGCTTATTTCTCCAGACCTGCAGATGGGCCAAATACCAGCTGAGTGTGCCCCATCTTCAAACCACAGAGGATTTATTTTGTCTACCATCTCTTTCTCCTGGCCTTACCCAGAGGATGACCTTGCTTGGACCCTGCATCCCAACCTGCCCTTCTCCCTTTCTGCCTCAGTATTGTGCAGCCGCTCTATTGTTATTATTATTATTATTATTATTATTATTATTATTGGATGTTTAAAACATGCCTTTGCCACTAAACCCAGCCATTCTATTTGCTGAAGGCACAACCACATCAGTCAGTCACCCTCCAGAAGCAGTGGGTGAGGGTGAATGGATTCACAGGGAATAATCCCACACGGCTTTTTGCCGGCACAGCAGAAAAATTCCTGCAGCCTGCAGTGGCTGGGGATGCCACAGGGAGCAGGGATGCACTGTGGGAATGTGCACAAGGAGCCCTGCCTAACATTCTGGAGTAACAGCAGAGATTTAAGCATCTCTGACACTGCTCCTGCTGCTCATGAGGACCCTTCTCCAAAAAGAGCACTTGAAGTGCTCTCTGCAAACCAGCAGCAAAGTTCAAAGGGAGAGGAGGGAAAGTGGCTTTCCCTTGGGATGAGGGTGAGTAGAGAAAGGCTGGTGGAAGAGGCAGCCCATGTTAAAGGAACCTGGCTGGATAAACAGGTAGCAGATCCATGGGAAATGCAAGCCATGGCATGCCAGTCCCTCTGAACCAGCCACAGATCTGTGCCTGTAACACCCCGAGCTCTGGGGTTCGTGTGTTTGTCTTTGCACCATCCAACACAGGCTCATTGCCCCTGTGCACAGAGCCTTTTTGGAGCACTGGAGCCTCTTCTCATCCCTGGGACTGCAGGGGAGAAGGGATTTTCTTGGAGCATCGCTTGCTCTAGCAGCAGGCAGCGTTTTCTCTGCCTCTGTGCTGCACCATTTTGCTCCAGAAGCATTTCACACTGTTTCCACCTTCCAGCCCCTGCTCCATGCCAGGGAAAATACAAAACGAAGGAGAAGCAATCCGAAGATAGATATTATAAAACACTATTGGGTTAGCATTTCACTTCATAAATTAACTCACTGACACCAAGGCCTACCTTCTGCACCTAATAAATTTGTTGTCCAGCTTTAAAATGCTTTTATGGATTCTGTTCTGCCCTTTTTTTTTTTTCCTATCAAAATAACTGGCCTGGGTTTTGGTTTTTTCCCTGCTGTTTTTTTTCAGACCATCAGGTGGACTGCCTTCCATGCTGTCAGAAGGATTTGCTTCCAGGACAGGAAGATCTACCCTGAGTTAAGACTCCTGAGGAGAGATGGCCTTCAATATTAGCAAAGGGAAATACTTTGGATGAGGGCTTTAAATCAGCAAAGGAACTGCAGAGGAGAGTAAAACGCTCTGTTAGCAACCCCCTCGCTTTGTAATCGTTATTTCCAGGGGATTAGCTGCACCTTGCTGCAGCAGGGAAGGAATTTCCAGGGTGGAAAATATGAAGGGAACCCACGTGCCATGGGAGGCAGAGGGGGAGTGTTTGGGGCATGTTCAGCAGAGCAGTGCCAGCCAGTAGGTCCCACTGCAGCCGGCCAAGGGGCCACACTGGTGTCCCACACACAGAGCCCTTGCTGCAGGAGCTCAAACATCAGATGCCAGTCAGATATTTATGGCTGGAGGTGGCTGTCAGGGCTTACAAGCCCCCAGAACTCCCAGGTTGGCTCTTCTCAGCTTTTATTTATCCAGCAAATGCCTTCCATTTCAAGCAAAACGGGCTGTGTTGTTTTTGATAGCTGGTATTTATTAATCTACTCTCTTTGGGGGAGGCTGAAGTGATGGTCACCTGTCCCCAGGGGTCCCTCAGCCTTACCTCCTCGCCAATAGAGATGCAGGCTTTGGAGTCTAGATCTCTGGGTGGCCTGAAGAAAAGAAAAAGGGGAAAAGATGTGAAATGTGCCTTAAAAAGATCACTTTCCCTCAGTGAATTGTTAATAACCCCCGTGGTCCCTCAGGCCATCCCCTCACACCTCCATCCAGCAGCCCTGGAAGTCCTGAGCAGCCTCAGTGTCCTGGCTTTACAGGATCAACAGATACAGCCAAGACCCACAAAGTCACCCCAAAAAGGGCTCAGGAAGGAACTGCTGGAATTGGCATTTCTCACATCCAGCCTCCTCGTGCAGGAACCCAGAGAGATTCACTGTGAAAGGCAAGGCAGCTGGCAAGCACCAAATCTCTGCCAGCCTGTATGAAAAATGGATTAAATGGGCACAAAGGCCTAAACCCACTGCAAATTATTACCTCAGCCACACAGCACATGCCAACAGGCTAAAAAAAGTGAGACATGGGGATGTGATGGGTGCAGGTGGTGGGCTGAGATCCCCTGGTTGTACCTGAGAAACACAAGGGCTGTGAATGTATTATCACACTATCATGGAATGGTTTGGGTTGGAAGGGACCTTAAAGCTCATCCAGTGCCACCCCCTGCCATGGGCAGGGACACCTTCCACTGTCCCAGGTTGCTCCAAGCCCCATCCAGCCCGGCCTGGGACAGTTGCAGGCTCCAGCAAAGGCTGGAAGCAACTGGGCTTTGTGGTTTTCTCTTCATTCTGCCTTTAGTGTTTGCAGACTTACGTGGAGCTTGTCTGTGGTTGCTCAAATGCTTCTTTAGGAATTTTCAGCCCAGGGTTTCTCTTCTTGCCTGTGAAACAAGAAAGAGGCAGAGTTAAAGAAAGGTGCTTTTGTTGTTGTTGTTGTTATGATTTGTTTGGGGTTAATTTGCAAAACACAGCTTGTCTATATTTGTTGACCTTATTTAACATAAATGCCTGGCCAGGCTGGTGGTGTAGACTCAGGGCACAGAGTTCAAACATAAAGTGCCTTTGTTCAGTAAGTCTTCATTTAGACCTGCAAGGTCTGGCTGCCAACTTGGTACAGAAAACAGGCAAGAGCTCTGGCAAAGGCAGAAAATGCAAAGGGAAAGGTATTTCTCCTCCTACCCACGCAGGATCCCTTAAAATGTTTCTTAGATTTTAAACCATTCCAGATACATAACTGCAAACCCTGGCAGCATTAAAAATCTCTTTCAAAATTGAATCTGAAAGTCCAGGTTCTGATTCTGTTTAACTGGATGTTTCATCTCCTGGTCATTAAAGTTGTGCAAACCCAGCAAAAATAAAGCAGAATTAAGTTTGCAGGCTTCAAAGCCGTTTGTTTCTGTTCACACTGACCAGCCAAGCCTTTCTGAGCTGGATGCAGCTCAAGCTCTGAAGGAGTTCAACTGCAGCTCTCCTGTAAAGGGGGTCCAAGCCGGCACACACAGAGCCAGGCAGGGCAGAGAAACACAAGAAGCTTTTTATGACTACACATATACAGCCACATTTCAGCAAGGAGGTTGGAATTCATGGATAAAATAACCTGGGAACATAAGTCATGTCACCAAAACCCCAAGGTAAACATCTGGCTGTGTAAGAAAATCCCTGGTCCACCCCCCTCCCAAAAAGGCACAGCATCTAATTTAGGTGTTTGGCATTTCCAACCTAACAATTTATATCAGTTGCTGTCTTTCTTTTAAGCAGGACTTTTACCCTCTGTTCCCAGCACTCCCTCTCAAACTTCACCTATCCCTGCTTCAATTTGTTTTTCCTTTTGACACGAACTGATGTCAATAGATGCCTGTGAATCCCAGTGCCAGAGGGCTGCTGGATCAAAGTGCAGGCACCCAGGATGGAAAATGACCTTTATGAATCAATTAGTCAATTCAGATTGCCATTATTATTATTTCTTTTTTTAATTTTTTTTTCCTTGCCTGCTCCAAAAGACGGAATCAGGCTCACTCCTTTTGGCAAAGAGTCATTCCAGGATGGGACAGGATGGAAGAACCCAGCTGACACCTCACGGGAGAAGAATTTATTGGAAACCCCTGTGCACACTCACTATCAAGATTAGAAATCAACAGAGCTGTGAATTTACATAAGGGGAGAAAACGAAAAAAAAGCTAATTCTCTGCTCCCAGGAGCTTCCAACCTAACACAGAAAAGGCAAAATAAAAGCAGCAAGGTCACTCAGAAGCACGAAGAACAGCCCTGTCTTCCCAAGAGGTAAAAGCTGGTCTGTGAGGAAGTAAAAACAGTGCTAAAACCCAGTGGAGGAATTCCTGCAGTTCTGTGCCCCTTCTCCTTCTAGTTTTCTTAGCTGTGCTCCACAGGCATCCAGAAGGCACAACTGAGGAGCAAGCCCTGCTGTGTTGGATGCTCTGGATTCCATCCCTTGCCCAAGCTGTGCCAGGTGCCCCTCGGATCCATCGGGATGCTAAATGGGTAACAGTGCTCTGGATGTTGGTGTGTCAGCTAAAAAAGGAATCCCAAAAACACAGGTCTGGCAGGGCAGGCAAACAAACCCCCCCTGTTTCTCTGGCAATTTCCAAGCCTGCTATCCCAGTGGAGTCTCTGCCTCCAGGAACCCGCCTGCATCCCCAAGCAAACAAGACAACCACAGGCACAAGAAAAGCATCTTCCTCCTGATTTTGTGTGTGGAAATCCAGACACAAACATCCACCCAGGTGCCCAGAGAGGTAGGAACTGCCTCTTCAGAGCTGAACTCTCCCTCCTAACACTCACCAGCTGCAAGGACCAGCCCTCCCCTCTGCTATGGTTGCATTGGCACCACCAAAATCAAAGGAGAAACAGGCACAAATTTGCTCTATTATTGCCTTTCTTCTCTTTTTCCCTTCTTCGTTTTGCTTGCACCACCCCATGTGCTGCACCTGAACCTCAGGAACCCGCTCTGGGGCAGCTCTGGGAGGGTGAAAACGAACCCACTGGAAATTACCCTAATTTGAACTGGAACCAGAACAGGTTGTGCAGCGTTTAATCTTATCGTGGCTCACAAGTGGTGTCAGCAGAACTAGGTAGCCAAGTGCCAAACCCAAATAAATATTAAGAGCCTTCCGCCTTCTGGTGAAATAAAATCTGCACTTTGGGGAGTTTATTTTCCTTGTCTCTTCTTCACAGAATACAATATTTTGAAGCTTTGCCATTTTTTTGAGGCACAATCTGTCGGTGCGCTAGAGCTGCCAAGACACAGGCACAGTTTAACATTCTTCTGGGGTTTTCTTTTCAAGAAAGAAGAGAGAGACAACAGTAGCAAGAATAGAACATGGATTTCAGGATGGCACCGGGAGAAGGGACTGCAAATGGGAATTGCTGGATCTGGGACTGGCACCTGCAGTACCCATGGGAGGAGGAGGGGGAACGTGGTGACTCCACTCACTGTGGGGTTCTTTAATGAATCCTGGGCTGAAATCAGGCAATTTCAAACCTCCCAACTGGATCAGGCCAAGTTTCTGAGCTCCTTTTGTTCCAACATGCAAAGCACTCGTCTCTCCAAGCCTCTGGGGCCAGCGGCTAAGAGTGGTTTGCAGGAAGCATCAGCAATCCCTGACACTGCCTTAAAACCAGGAACATGGAGCAGAGCCAGGGCTGCCATCCCAGAAGGCTGTAGTGGGGTGCAGGAATTGGGATCCCCCTTATCCCAGCCCCCAGGTCCCCATTGCACAGGAGCTGCTCCAAAACTCAACAGTCCAGGTCACACGTCCTTCAAAGAGCTTCCCCCAAAACAAGGCTGCTTAAAGGGTTTAGGGTTGTTTTCTTCAAGGGAAAAAAAAATAACTGGAAGTCCCAAGATCAGTTCTGTTCAATAGGAACTGCCAAGCAAGTGTCTCGCTGTCAAAATAAAATCCCCCAGTTTGCCACAGCTTTGAGAGATGACGCCGTATTAAACTGCAGTTTGCAGAGAAAATCATCTGCACAGGAGCTCAGAACGTGGAGGCAGCTTAATAACATACAAAATTGGATGTTACCTGTTCCATCCACCAGAAAACCAGTGTTTTCCACAGCGTTTTTATGAATCATTACTATTTTTAGCTTTGTTTCCCGAAGAAAATCACCCCGTGTGTTTATCTGACGGTCTGTGTCCCTTGTGGTAAGTGTAAATCCACTGGCCCATTTCCAGCCTCACCTGACAGAGAAACTGAGCTTTGGGAGACTGCAAATCTGATGAAAACAGGTGACTGATTAAATAAAGAAGTCCCCACTTCAGAGACAGGCTGAAGCACAAAAGCCACCCATGGCAGGCACCGGCCATCCACACCCAAGCTGTGCAGAAGCCCTGAGTGCCTCAGACACCAGAACAACAGCACAAGGTTTGCTCCTGAGGCCCAAACCAGGGTCTGAGCATGGGGTTCCCTGCAATTCCTCGGGATTTGCAGTAAGGAAAGCCCCAGTGAGCCATCACACACACAGCACAAACTCTACACGTGGCTCCTGCTGCAAAAGGTTCCCAGTGCTGGGGGATCAGCAGATGGGATTGTGCATCTGCTCCCCAGCACTCAAAAACCCACGAGCTTTCTGTGGAAACAACCCCTGGAGCCTTGCTGGTCCCTGAGCCTTCGAGCTAAAGCTCATTTGAGAGCTCTCCCTGCAATTTGCCACACGGAGACATCCACAAGCACTTGACTCAAGAGCCTAATTTTAAGAATAGCTGAGGAGGGAAAAAACCAGCCTGGCTTGGAGAGATGCTGAGAGACATCTCCAGAACCCAGCTTGGATTCAGCAAAACATCCAGAGTATCTGCAATGTTAAGCACCAGCTTCAATTTACTGTCTTTTAGCAGAAAAATCACCCACAGTACGTATCGAACCAACCGGGGCTGGAAAAGCTGCCACCTTCACAAAGCCCCCGTCCTTTCCTGCAAATGCACTGCTCAAGGCAGCTGGAATAGTCTCAGGATGAGAGAAAAACAGCCTCTGGTTCTGCCAGGGCAGGTTTAGATTAGATTTAGGATGAACTTCTTCACCAAAAGGTTGGGCAGCACTGGAACAGGCTGCCCAGGGAAGTGCTGGAATCGCCACCCCTGGAAGCGTTCAAAGTGTTCAAGTGGAGGTGGCACTCGGGGGACGTGGTTTAGTGGTGGGCTTGGCAGTGCTGGGTTAATGTTTGGTCTTGATGATCTCGGAGAGCTTTCCCAACCTTAATGATTCCACGATTCCATGACTGTAATTCCAGCAGTTGGCTGCAGCATCACCGCAACCTCCCATGCCTCAGCAGTGACCCCTGCATAGCTCAGACCATCCCAACTGAGCCAACACCGAGAACCAAATGAGGTCTGAAAGCAAAAATCCTAATAGGAAAAAGAAACCCTGACTTAAAGAAAACACATTAAATACTTCCCTGTGAAGGTCTTAAACCCAATTCCTCAGGGAGGGGAGAAAAATACACTGCCAGTGGGTTCATTAACCTCTTCCCACCAGCACTGACAGGGCACGGAGATGGATGTCGTTAACCCCCCTCAACTAGGGCACCGTTAAATATCAGTATTGAAAAAGGAAACTTCAAAGTTTCGCAGGGAAAGGGTAGGAAGCAGAACAGAGAATAACAAAGAAAGGGAAGACAGAGGAATTCACTGCCCACATAGGCTGTAACAGAAAACAAACTTCGACTTCTGAAGGAAAATCCCATTCCCCTGTCTCCTGACATTTCACTGCAGTCAAAAACTTTTTCATGATTTAATCCAAAGTAAATGGTTCCTTGCCACAAAAAGCTCCTATTTCCATCAAAGGATATTAACTAGTTCTGTCTTCACCACAATTTATCATTAAAGCTGTGTTCAATAGCCATGTAGCAACATTTCCTTTCAAATAAC